TTACACACAAAAATTTATATATGTTAACAAATAAAGAAAAAAATCGTTAATAATAATTAAAAAACCTGAAAGCCGTTTTGTTATGGCTAAAAGTGCATGTATACCTAGCTCTTTTCTGTTACCACACAGAGAGATAAAACTAGTTATTTAATCCATGTTTTATAATAAAAAATTTTATATATAAAATAATTGTATATATGGACTCTTTTAACATGTTTTTACACACAAAAATTTATATATGTTAACAAATAAAGAAAAAAATCGTTAATAATAATTAAAAAACCTGAAAAATTAAAAGACGGATATAAATCACGGTATTTAATCTCACAAGACAAGATATTTATCTTATTAAAATTGAAAAAGTCACAGTTTTTTCTAATAATTACCTAGTTGCTAGAATTTCATAATAAGATTTTTTATATATAAAATAATTATATATATTGACTCTTTTAACATATTTTCACACAAAAACATTTATATATGTTAACAAATAAAGAAAAAAATCATTAATAATAATTAAAAAACCTGAAAAATTAAAAGACGGATATAAATCACGGTATTTAATCTCACAAGACAAGATATTTATCTTATTAAAATTGAAAAAGTCACAGTTTTTTCTAATAATTACCTAGTTGCTAGAATTGTTTATTAAAGTTAATTTTTTATTCAATCAATCAATAATAAAAAAAATAGACATGCGGTAAATTGATTGAATAAAATAAAGAAGGAAATTAATAATAATTAAAAGACCTGAAAAATTAAGAGATGGATATAAATCACGGTATTTAATTTCACAAGACGAGATATTTATCTTATTAAAATTGAAAACGTCACAGGTTTTTCTAATAATTACCTAGTTGCTAGAATTGTTTATTAAAGTTAATTTTTTATTCAATTAATCAATAATAAAAAACTATACGTGTAGTAAATTGATTGAATAAAATAAAGAAGGAAAAATATTATGCAAAGCTGTATATATTAGAAACATTATTTAAAAATAAATATTTTTATTTTAAAAAATAAATTTTATCCATATGAAAAATAAAAAAATATAGATGAATCAGAATAATCTTTTTAAAAATTAAATGCTTATAACACTATTAAAAAACAATCTCTATCTTAAAAATAAGTTAAATAAGAAAATAAAAATCACATAGGAGGAATATTAATTAAAACATAAATTCAAAGATTATTTAAGAAAAGGGACATTAAAAAAAATATATCAATTAAAAAAAGTAAATTTAGAAAAAAAAATAGTTTGGGTGTTGTGACATAACTTTTCAAACTTGCACTCCATGACATATCACCTACCAAGGCAAACGGCGTGTTGAGATAATGTCTTTTTTTATCCAAATAAACTTGATTTTTAAATCATTTCAAACAAAAAAAAACACCTCTCCAACATTCTTAGAACACTCATAAACTAATTCATCACCTCAAAATATCCAGAAAAATCTAAAAACATGAAATCAAACTATGTTAGATTCATCTTTCTCGATTTAGATCTTTTTTTTTTCAGGCAAAAACAAGATATTAAACAACCATCAAGCTCATCTCATCTCGTGGAACTTGTGGACAAAAAAAAAAACCTATTTTGATAGTTAGGAATGGCTTGAACGATGACCTTCTATCTCGTCGCTAGAATCTAGCGACCCGTATCTCTCTCCTCTCTCTAATCACATATTAAAAAATATTACGAATAAACTTTTGTATTAGAATTGATTATTGTGAAATATAAAGGTATCAAAACTATATAATTTATGTTATTCTTGAAATTTGAGAATCTAAATATATTTTTAATAAAATTTATGAGATGCCACCTATACTTAACATTTTTTTCATTTGAGTCCCTTTAATTTCAATTCCACTTATGTTTAAGAAATAAAAAGCAATTAGTTTTTAATTAGGATTTGGAGGCAGGGTGGCTACTGAACACTATACAATGAAATATTATTCTAAAAAAAAAAAGTTTGCTAAAAAACACCATTAAACTAGTATTTGGGGTAAGATAGTCCTTTTTATTATAATTTAATATCATTTTGAGATTGTTTGGAGGTGTATTAGTTGTTTTAATTTTATTTTTTTAATAGTTAAATTAACAAAAAAAAGTAGCTTAAGGGTAAGGGATTTTATTTCTTTTTTAATTTTTTTTATTAAAGTTAAATTACTTAATTACATAAATATTTAGGTCTTTTCATCACATTAAAGTTAAATTACTTAATTACATAAATGTTTAGGTCTTTTCATCACATATTTATTTATTTATTTATTTATTTATTATTATTATTATTAATATCAAGTTAACTCATTTGTCAATTTACATTTTACTAAATGTTTAATATTTAAAAAAACAAAAATCTTTGATATAGCTTGTCATGTAGACACTAGCAAATGGGTAATCCACGTACTTTTTGAGTAATATATAAAGATTTTTCTAGTCCCCAAATTTTGTCTTTCCCAACAATATTTAAAGGGTATTGACACTTCATCTGCAATGATATAATACGTGCTCTAAATATACCTTTAGCTTCGCACCATCACTAATTTCTATTTTTTTTATTATTATTTTTCTCTCAATCCCCTTTGAATTTTACATGAGCTCCTTCAAAATTTCAAACCAACCTCTTCAATTATTTTCCTTAGCATTTGGTTTCTATCCTCTTTTATTAGTATTTTTTTATTTTGAATAATCTATAAAAAAAATTTTAATTTTACCCCCTTCTAGTTTTTTTCATCTTTCAAATATAGTTCTTATTTTTTTTATTGTTATTTATTTTAATTTTAGATTATTTTTTTACAATTTCATTCTCCTTAAAAACAATTTCCTATCAAATATGATCCTTTTTATTTTGATTATTATTTATATTATTTTGACAAGTTTTTTAAATTAATATTTTTTTACAATTTCATTATTTGATAATAAATTAATTGAGAATTAAGTTTATTAATTGAATCTAAATTTAAGAATTCACAAGTTACAAATTCTAGATTAAACTAAGTTTAGGAAGTTTGCACCAGGTTTGCTTGGTTTTTATTTTCCATTGTTTATGCTATTTCTTTTATCCTTTAGCATTTATTTGATTGGAAACTGAGTTCGTTCTTTGTATTTATTTGCTTCTATATATTTTTTTGTTGGTCATGAAAATGACCCTAATTATCTCAAATATTTTTATTTGTGGTTCTATATTAGTTTTTTTTTTTGCTAATTTCTTAAATTGATATTTTTTTAATTTTATCTTTCAATATTTGGAGATTTTTTGAAAAGAATTTATAAAATTATTTTTTTTCAATTTTATTCCCCTTTATTTTATTTTATTTTCAAATTTATTCCTTATTCTTTTAGTTGTAAGTTTGGCACCTTAACTCAAGTTTAGAAAATTCATCCATGTATGCTTGATTTATTTTTTTATTTTTTAAAACTCTTTTCTTCAATCTCATTATTCATCATTTATATTATTAGCAATTAAGCTATGTTTTTTTCTTTATCTACCTTTTATATGATTTTTTGCAAATTTTCAAAACAATTTGGTTTATCTTTATTTGTTGTTTCTTATAGGTTTCCTATTGTTTTTTCTTGGTTGGGTCTATGCCAAGTCTCATTTTCTTAAAACACATTTGCATCTCTCAAGTATATTTTTTTTTTACCAATAACAAAAATATTTTGGCCCATAATGCAATGCAATGGAACCCACAAATCTATTTAATAAAAACCAAAGGAGGGAGTTTTTTTTATTATTATATCCCTTCTCACGTAACATTATTATAATAGTGTTTTTTTCATTCCTTTGGTGTTTTTTTTATTTCAATTTCATCATTTAGGTTTATTAAGAAATTGAGCTTTATTATTTTTTTCAATTTACTAATTTATGAGATTATCCAAAACTCATGATTCAAATCACTATTTTAATAGGTTAACTTAATTAAGTCAAGTTTTTTTTTTAAATATCTCTTTTTATCTCTCTCAAGTTCATCTTTCAATATTAAGTTGATTAGAAAATAAATTTTGTAATTTGTTTTGGTCTACTTTTCATGAGGTTATTCTTATCTCATAACTCATGTCATAAGTTTGACAGCTTAACACTCGAATCATTTTCTTGTTCTTTTTTTAATCAATTTTTTTTTAAAATTTCATAATTCAATATTGAATTGATCAAGAATTAAGCTTCATAATTTATTTTAATTTTTTTTCATATTGAGTTGTTTTAGTCTTATAATTTAGATAGTGAATTTAACAGATTAATCTAAATTGACTCAAGTTATGTTTGCTTACTTGTTTTTTAATTGATTTTTCCTCACTTTCATTATTCAAAATTAGATTTACTGAAAATTAAGCTTCATAATTTATTTTAATTTTTTTTTCATATTAAGTTGTTTTAGTCTTATAATTTAGGTAGTGAATTTAATAGATTAATCTAAATTGACTCAAGTTATGTTTGCTTACTTGTTTTTTAATTGATTTTTCCTCACTTTCATTATTCAAAATTAGATTTACTGAAAATTCAATTTCATAATTTATTTTAATTTTTTTTCTATAGGATTATCATGATCTCATAACAAGATATGCAGATTAACATATTAACTCAAGTTGACCTAAATCGATTCAATATATTATCTTAATTTTTATTTTTAAAAAACACTCATCTTAAATACTTATTTTAACTCAAACTTTTTTTTTTATTAGTTATTCAAGTTATCTTTAAACCTACTAATATAAGCTGAGTCTCAAATTAATTTTCACATGGTTTTTAAAAAATATTTATTGAAAAAACTATTAACAATACCTAAATGTTTTTTATGCAAAAAACAAATCTGACCCATGGCATAACAGGTCAAGGATGTAGTTTAGTTCTAATCTTTGTTCCGCTCACTGAAATAGCTGTTGAATAAATTCCCCAATGCTGCAAGCTGAATCATCCAGATGCTGGTTCTCCGCATTGGGGCACTCCTCATATTGGTTCGGAGAGGTAACTCTTAGATTCATAGTATTGTTGACCCATGCGTAGTGTAGAACTCTTGATTTTGAAGTTCTCTTTGTAGCATTGAAAGAATTGCTAGTGCATCAAACTCCAAATACTGTAAGAGCTTGCATAATTAATACAACACTTAGGAAACACTTCGAGTTTGACTGCCACAATAGCATTATGAAGAGTGCACCCGTTGTTATTCCAACATCGTTCTAATGAGTGGATTACCGGCGACGCCAACCAGAAACTGTTTTGGCGACTAATGAGATAGAATTTGAGGCTGCTTCTAACCTGCATTAGAGGAGGTACAATCCATCAACTCATTGTAGAAAATATAATATAAAAGTGCACACACAGGAGGGAGGGAGAGCACTTCGATATTTCTTCAACAGCCCTTGTAACTTCTGCAGAGCTTGTTTCCAACACTTGACCTTCAAAAATTATCCCATCTAAAATAGTATGGAGCTGAAAAAGAATGAAGTTAGTTTAGTTTACTGGAAAAACATCTTTCATAAAAAAAAGATCAATGGAAATTGCTTGCATCTACATTACTGGCAAATAGAACATTAAGAGCTTCAGGTTACATGATCAAATGAAAACTCCCAAAAAATAGTCAAGTTGATCCAATGTTGGAAATTTTACAAGCTATGCATCGTGAAATTTAATAAACAATGATGTTGGTTGAGTCTATCGTGAAGTTTTTCTTTATCCCACTCAGAAGTAGAAAACCTGAATTTCCAAGGCACTATTGGTAGAAAATATAGCTCAAGTGGATAGGGGGGATGGGGAATCCACATACCTTGCTGTAATTGAAAACTACATCAAACTCGCATACATTCCTGAAGCATTTATCCAGTATTTCCACAAAAACTGAAGGCAGGAGGGTTCACATTAGCAAAATCCGCCAAGCAATGAAATAATAAAACAAAGGAAGCACTTACATTTGTGACAAGAATTGACCTGCACACTATTTATATAATCAGATGGAACATAACTGATAAACTTAATCTTCTGTCCTTCATAACACAGGTTAAAAGGATCCCAAAAGTAAATAACAATTTAAAAAAGGTGCTAAAAGCTATCGACCGTACAGTTTCAAGGGTTAAATGAGCAACAGCCTTGTGATTATCTAAAAAAAAAAATACCCACTTCAAATGACAACAAATCTTTAGACCATAAAGCAGCCTGCCAAATTAACAAAAAGTGAAGCTAAATCAGTTGATGGTGTTCAATATATCAAGACATCCAGTTTTATTTTTTTAAGTGATTTTGTCTTTGTCCACAATTCTATACAACTCAATTCAATTCAGCTCCATCTCCTTCCATCCTTGTCTCACCTGAATCATAAGTTTATTCAATACTCCAAAAATTTCAAAATTTAAGAGCCTCTCCATCATCTACCCTCCACTTCATAATAACTAGCAATCAATCAACCATTTTGCAACAATCCAATTTTGTAATATCATTTTAATCATGATAATAGTGAGTGAAGGTAGTACCTTGTATGAGATCAAGCATCGCAAGCTCATTCTCAGAATTATCAAACACAAAGACAAAGTACAATGTTGCATAATGTTTGTACACAAGACGACTACCCTGCCCACGTAGAACAAGAAAATCATAGAAATTCTCAAATGCAAAGACGATCAACCTCAAGTATATCAAATCAAGATTCCAAAACGAAACAAACAAGAAAAATTACTGGGCCAAAGATTGAATCAGCCTCCATGAAATTGCTAACATTATCAGCTCTACTACATAACACTGGCATATAAAGATTAACACTGGGTATCAGAAATGACATAATCATTAACAGAAGTGCAAAGAAATAGTGATCAGATCAATCACAACCTCCAAATACACTGCGTATAAGTTCTTGCTGCTTCTCTACAGTCTGTTCTCGTAGAGAAGAAAAGGCAAGAAACTTTTGTAAGCAATTGGGTCGATAAGCACCTATGCGAGAAAAAGAAGGATTGAATTGTTGTAAAAGAGAGGAATTGTTACCAAAAAATCGTAGAATTTGGTAAGGCGAGGTTTGCCTTGGGTGTTAATGATCAGCACAGCTTTTATCATACTTGGATCTCTGAGTCTACTGCTTGAGTCCTGTTGCTCCTGTGATTTGTATCTAATGTCTTGTCTCCCTCTCGAAAATAGATCCAAAAGTGGTGTTTTGTTTACGTCCTTGCAGAATTTACTATTTATACTTGGGCCTACAGTTTTCCAGCAATGAGAAGCATGAATGGTAACGCGTCGGGTCGAAATACGGTTTTTGTACATCGCACGCATCCAACAAGATAAGTGGTTCATATTGGGTTATTGATTGCATCAATTTTTTTAATGTAAAAAATTATTTTGATATTGTTAATATTGTTTTATATAAAAAAATTAAATCATAAAAAAATTGATTTGATGTGACTGGATTGTCTTGGTGATTCCAAAAACAATCTGAATAACCAACAAAAATATAATTTAACTTAAAATAAATATTTAAGATGATATTTTTTTAAATAAAAAAAGATATTATAATATATTGAATCGATTTGGGTCAACCAGGATTAACCTAATAATTTGTATACCAAGTTATGAAATCATAAAAATTGACATAACCAAAAGATTGATGTTTTCTTTCAAGTGCAAGAGTGTCGAAGTAATAAATAACCCGACAAAACCAAGGTAAAACCATAAAAAAGTTAATTGTATAAATTATAAACAATAATAATACAACAACAAAAACAACAACAACAACAACAATAATAATAAGATACCTTTAATTTATGGTAACTATTTATTTTAAATGCAGGCCTATCACATAAATGAAAGGATTGATTGATGAATTTAAAAACTGAAATTGAAAGGA